TCCAGCTGCCGACCTTTTGGTTAGCAGCGGAACTCTTAACCGCTGTGGCACAAATTCCAGGAGTGGGTTTTGCCTGGAAGATAAGGGAAAATGGAAACTTAACTGGCAAGTGCTGTCAAGCGTTGTTACGCAAACTTTGTTGTTAGGTGCCATCGAGTCGGTCCCGACTCATAGCGATCCTATGTATAACAGAACGAAATGTTGCTCTTAAATAAATAAAACTGGCAACTTCAAAGGGGACGCACACCCGTCTCCACTCCCCAAGGGCGGTGCTCCGAGGTAGGAGGGTCTGCGGAGATCTAGCCAGGCCTCACCGGCCCAGCGGGAGCCAGGGCTGCTCAGGGTCCGAACTTGAACTCAGGGCCCCTCAGACCCCAGAGCCATCAGGCTCCCAGAGCCCCCACGCTTTTCTCTGCCCCGCCAACCTTTTGTAGGAAGTACCCGGGACTTCGCGCAACGCTGGAAAGAGAAGGAGCCTCCCTTTTCCGGGCGGATCCAGCTGTGCCCAGCCCGCGCCCCCGCTTCTTGATTGGCTCATGGTCCCTGCCAATTAAAAGTTTTATTTTAAAGCTCCCGCCCTGTTAACCCTGTAGTTACTAGAGATAGGACGCGGCAAGGGCGGTGTTTCTCAACTAGGGGCCAGTGGATCTACCCCGCGCTTGTTGAAATGAACATTCCCGGGTCCTACCCTTTCCGGAGAGCCTGATTCAGTAGGTGGGGCCGTGAAATCTGTATTGTGAACAAGTACCCGGGTGATTCTGATGCCCTCGCGCAGCCTGAGGGGCCCTCACTTCAATGGCCCTCCAGGCGGGTTCTGGACACAGTCCCATCCTGGTCCTCAGGATTGCTTTCGGGAGAAATAAGATCAGTGATCCCCGGTAGATTAGTCTGGGCCTTCGAGTCGGGTCGGCTCTGAATGTGTGTGTAAGAGGCCTGGAGGAGGCGGACTCGGGGACAGGGAGAGTTGACTGGAGCCAGGGCCTATGCCAGCTGCCCCCCAGCTTCCCCTAGGGAAGACTGTTTCTCCCAGGAAAGATCCGATAGCATCCTCCGGAGTAGGGGACCTAGGCTTCATCAGCTTCACTCATAGGTTTGTGTTCCTTCTAATACAGTATAAATGTGAATTTGTTCAACAAGTGAGAAATAGTTTAATGGGAGCCAGAAACACTCTGGAGTCCTTGGGGTGGTGCAAATCGTCCAAAAGGTTGGCGGTTCCAGTGCACCCAGAGGTACCTCGGAAGAAAGGCCTGGAGAAAATCCTATGGCGCACAGTTCTACACATGGGGTTGCCTTGAGTCTCCATTGACTCTGAGAGGCAACTGGCTAGAAACCCTTTGGCATCCAAGGCCAACTTCATGGGCCTGAGACCTGTGCAGTTGAACAGGACCCTAAACTTGATTTAGTACTTGATTATATGTTCTGCTGTGGCTGTCTTGAAATTCTTAATTTTTTAAACAAGAGGCCTTACATTTTCACTTTGCACCGGACTCTGCAAATTCTGCAGCAGCTCCCGGGCAAAAAGCTTTTCTACAGCCAGGCTCCGGTGTTCCCATCAACACGCTGGCCTTCCTGAGCCCAAGAACATCCCTCTCTCTCCAGGCAGGAGCTGGCCCCACCTCGAACCGGGCTATGGCCGATCCCAGAGGGCAGTTGCCCGAGGAGGTGCTGGCGCTCATCTTCCGCCACCTATCCCTGCGGGACCGCGCCGCTGCCGCTGGGGTCTGCCGGGCCTGGGCCGCCGCTGCCACCTACAGCATCGTGTGGCGTGACACAAACGTCAGGTGAGCCGGCTCCTCCCTCTGCCGCCGCCCTTTCGCTTTCTCTGAGGGGTGTTTGATAAGGATCATCGGTGGAGATTCAGTGACTCCATATTCAAAAGCAAAATAATTACTAACATTTATTGACTGTTTACTATGTAACAGCCACTGTTCTGAGTGCCTTACATATATTAATTCATTTACTCATCACGAAAACATTTTGTTCACATAGGAAGCTGAAGCAGAGAGATTTAATAACTGCCCACAGGTCACTCAGGAAGTGGCGGAGAAGGGATGTGAATCTGGCCCGCCTCACTAGAGACCACTGAGAAGGCTTGTTCCTGAAATATCATTGCTTCCCCCAGCCAGGGTTTCAACCTGTGCCACATGCAACTGAAGTTTTCTAAAGGGTAGGGTGGGGGTTCCCTCCCCGCATCAGAGGCTGCCTTTGTGTAACCAGGCATGGTCGGGCAGGAAGGTATGTGTATAGGAGGCAGAAAGTGAGGATGGTAGCTGGAACCCAGGCTGAGGGGGGATAGGGGCTTCTTCCCTGATCGCGGGGACGCTGCTGATGCCTTTTCTGTACTGCTCTAACCTAAGTTGCGACTGTGAGGGGGAAGGCATGCTACCACCGTCTCTATCCGCCTGCCTTGACCACATCCACAATTTGCGTCTGGAATTTGAGCCATCGAGGGAGCCGAGCCGCCGGACGGCCACAAAGCTGCTGACGGCGCTGGCGGGCCGTGCTCAGGGGTTGCGAGGCCTGCGCCTGGAGTGCCATGGAGAGAAGCCTCTCTTTGATGCGGGCAGCGACATCCTGGACGCAGTGCAAGCCGTCTGCAAGGCTGCCCGCGCGCTGCGCCACCTGGACCTGCGGCGCTTGCCTTTCACGTTGGACGACGCGCTGGTGCTGCAGGTGGCACGAGGCTGCCCCGAACTCTGCAGCCTCTTCCTGGACAACTGCACTCTCGTGGGCAGCGTGGGGCCCGATTCCGTACTCGAGCTCCTGGCGGCCTGTCCGAGAGTGCGCATCCTCGGCCTGCACCTTGCCAGCCTGTCGCGCGCCACCCTCGAAGAGTTGGCCGCGCCGGACCGCGCGCCTTTCGCGCTCTTGGCCCTGCGGTGCGCGTGTCCCGAAGACGCGCGCGCGCCCGCTTTGCCCGACGAGGCCTGGGCTGCAATGCGGCGCCGCCACCCGGGGCTGGCCGTGGAGCTGGAATTAGAGCCGACGCTGTCTGCCGACACCGTGAGGCGCGTCCTCCAGCCTTCGGTACCCGTAGCTGCGCTGCGTCTCAACCTCTCGGGCGATTCCGTAGGCCCTGTGCGCTTCGCAGCGCACCACTACGCCACAAGCCTGCGCGTGCTGGAAGTGCGCGCCGCCGCGTCCGCCGAACTGGACGCTGCGCTGGAGGAGCTGGCGACGCGCTGCGCGGGCCTGCGCGAGGTGCATTGCTTCTGCGTGGTGCGGCCCACCGTGCTGGGCGCCTTCCGCGCTCACTGCCCGCGCCTGCGCAGCTACACGCTCAAACTAACGCGCGAGCCGCATCCCTGGCGGCCCACGTTGGTGGCGTGATGAAGCAACGCCCACCTTCCCGCAGAAGTGCGGCTTCTGGGATCTGTCTGGGGTGCCCAGGAACGCCCCAATTGCTAGCCCCTTCCTTCGGCGTTCTATTGCCTCCTTTGCCTCTCGGAGACTGGGGTCTGTGGGATGGCGTCGGGACCAACCCGGGGCGTCCTGAACACACTCGCGGCTCTCAATCTCTACAGACACCCCTCTGTGTCCTGGGGTCACCCTCTCCCAGTCCCACCCCTCTGCGGACTCTGCGCTAGCTCTGCGGCCTGGGCTCTGGGACAGAGAGTGCACGGGCCGGGACTCAGGGGTGAGTGTGCAATAAAGTCCTCCAGTATCTCTGTGTCCGGTGAAAGATGAGGTCGGCTCTGAGCGGGGAGGGCTGGGAAGGCGCGGAGGCCGGAGGAGCTGTCCTGGCAGGGGTAGGAGGGTTCCGACCCCAGAGGCGCGCTGCGGGGATTAGGGGCGGGACACTCGCACTTTTTGAGTGACAATGCCGTAGAATTCAATGGGAAGGAGCCAGTTCTCCCTCTCCCTATCCTACCTCCCCCCGCCCCGACCTATGGGGCTTCACCGTGCCCACGGACATCTCCTTCTAGGAACCAAGGCCGGGTACAGGCGATTTCTCAAGCGGATCGGGGAAGGGTGGGGACTTGAACCCGGATCTCCACACCATACACATCTGATCCCAACCTTCCCTCCTTTCTGTCTGCTGGTGCGGAGGCCGCGGTCCGAGCCCCGCCCCGCGGGTTCGCACGTGGCCGCCGCCTGACCCGGCGCCCGGAGGCGCAGTAGGGCGGGGCGGGCGACAAACGCAGCACTTTCCGCGGCTTTGACGAGCTCGCAGCGGCCGGGCCCGAGCGCTGAGCGAGGTGACACTGCGCTATGCAGGAAGCGCTAGTCCCGCTGCCGGCGGACCCGGGCCCTAGCCCCGTGCCTGCCTTTCTCGGGAAGCTATGGGCTTTGGTGGGCGACCCGGGCACCGACCACCTGATCCGCTGGAGCCCGGTGAGGGCTGGGGCCCCAAGACTCCCCCAGGGGCTCCCGGGGTCCCTCCACCTCAGTGAACACCCACGCCCACCCAACCCTATTCTGGGACGGGACTGTGGATCCTTCTATCTATTGGTCTAGGGCACTTCACCTTGGAGGAAGTGTACAAGGGGCGGGGTGAGGCGTCTTCCTCCGGTGCCAAAAGAGGGGTAGGAGCTTCCTGGGGACCTAGAGCCCAAGGGATGTTTGAAGTTATTTAGTTCCCACTGCACCCCATCTGACAGATGGGAAAACAGAGGCCAGGAGAAGGAACGGGCTGAGTGGCTCTGGGACTCCTCCGGTGCTGGAATCTGGGGTTGGCCTCTGCTCCAAAATAGACCCCTTTCCGAAAACTTTGAGTGCGGAGTCTCAGTCGGCCTGGGGATGGGGACCCACTGTGGGCCACAGGATGGGCCACACAGCTGGTTTTCGCCTAGCTGGGTCCCCATGTCCCCGTGAGCCGCAGGTCGGGTCCCCAGAGTGAGTGAGACTGTGTGTACGCGCCTGAGAGCAGGCCTGGCCGCGGGCGGGCGCCGCTCACCGGTGTCTGGTCTCCGCGGGCTCGATGGGCGGGCGGTGTTCTTCGCAGAGCGGAACCAGTTTCCTCGTAAGCGACCAGAACCGTTTCGCCAAGGAGGTGCTGCCCCAGTACTTCAAGCACAGCAACATGGCGAGCTTTGTGCGGCAACTCAATATGTGTGAGTCCCTGGGCCGGACGGGGAGTAGATGTGGGTGCGTTGTTGTCTGGGGATGGTGCGATTCACGCCCTCACGCCCCACTTACTTCCCAGACGGTTTTCGGAAGGTGGTGAGCATCGAGCAGGGAGGCCTGCTCAGGCCGGAGCGCGATCACGTCGAGTTCCAGCACCCGAGCTTCGTGCGCGGTCACGAGCAGCTACTGGAGCGTGTGCGGCGCAAGGTGGGAGCTGCCGACAGAAACTGGTGGAGGTGTTGGGACGGCAGGCCCTGCCCTACACGACCTTGTCCGGACGGTGCCTGTCGCCTGCAGGTGCCCGCGCTGCGCAGCGACGACGGCCGCTGGCGCCCCGAGGACTTGGGGCGGCTGCTGAGCGAAGTGCAGGCTCTGCGGGGCGTGCAGGAGAGCACAGAGGCGCGGCTGCGCGAGCTCAGGCAGTGCGCGGGACTGGGGCGGGCAGGGCGGGGTCTGGCAGGGAGGATGCCCGGCAGCTCTGGGCAGCCGCACCCTCTCTCGGTCTGCAGTGCTCCCAACCAGACAAATGGGCCGAACCGTGGAACTCCGTGGACTCTGTGGAATGAATGACCATCTGGGTGGTCGTGGATTCAGGGCCCCGCCATTCTTTGGGGGTGGGACTGGGCAAGCTCTCACTTGCTTCAGCACCTTCCCATCCGCTCCCCCAGGCAGAATGAGGTCTTGTGGCGGGAGGTGGTGACGCTGCGGCAGAGCCACGGGCAGCAGCACCGAGTCATTGGCAAGGTGTTCCTTACCCCCACCCCTTCTCTCTCCTACTCCTCAATCCCCCTCTCGCTCTGGCCCACCCGGACCCCCAGCTCCCAAGTTAAGCCCCCTCCTGGCGCCCACCTGGAAGTGCCTTGCTAAGGTGGGGGCGGGGCCGAAGTATGAATTGACTTTTGCTTCCTTTTCAGCTGATCCAGTGCCTCTTCGGGCCACTTCAAGCGGGGTCCAGCAGCGCAGGGGCCAAAAGAAAGCTGTGAGAAAGCCAGGGATGCTCACCCCGTTCCCCTACTTCCATGACCCTCCGCATCGGAGGCCGCCTGCAGGGACCCCTTCTCCAGAAACCCCTTCTCTGGGAATCCTCATTTTTCCCCTTCCCTACAGGGCTCCTTACCCTATCAGCCCCCTCCCTAACCCAGGACCTTTCTCCTCCCCTCCCAACCCTACCACCAGGTATCCCCACTCCAAGATGCCCCTGCTCCAGGACCTTATCCACCGCTTCCCACCCCAGTTGCCCCTTCCCTCTCCTCCCAAAGCATCTCTCAGCAGAGGACCTGGGGCTCAAACCATGCTCCCTCCCTCCCTTCTCTACCCTCAAAGGGCCCCCATCTCTGGGGGAGCCCCTTCTGCCTCCAGCATGTGACTGATGCCCTGGCAACAGGCCTCAGCTCTGCTGACTTGGCTGCTGGGGCCTGAGGGAGGGAGGTGGAGGCTGAAGCGCATGTGGGCTGAGCCTGCCCTGCCCCCTGCCCACGCTTGAACTACCCTGCACAGGTCTCTGATGCTGGATGAGGGGAGCGCATGCCCGCCACCTGCCAAATTCAGCTGTCCCCTGCCTGGTGCCCTCCTGCAGGACCCCTACTTTATCCAGTCAGTAAGTATCTGCTTCTCTCTCTCCCCAAGGGCACAGCTGGGCTTATGGGGAGCCTCCTCATTCTCCTTGTTCTCTCAAAAGAAGAGCAGGTGGAGGTCAGTCCTCTCCAGACCCGAGCTCCCCAGCATGGACTGAGCCTCCTTCCCTCAGACTTCTTCACTCAGACACTGTGGGGTTCTGGCTTTCCCTGTGGCTTGAGGTCAAGGGCTGGGCCTGGCCTTCTCCTTGCAGCCACTCCCAGAAACCACCTCCAGCCTCAGCAGCCCCCACAGGTCCAGGGGACCCATCATCTCTGACATCCCTGAAGATTCCCCATCCCCAGAAGGGACTGGGCTTTCTCCCTCCAGTGGTGGTGGGAGGTAAGGGGGCAGGGGCTACCCTGTGGGAAGTGGGGGAGGGGCTGGCATCTGGGATGGCTGTGAGTGTGGGGGGAGAAGGCAGTGCCAGGGTCTGGTTGAAGCTTTTCTCTGGTGCAGGGAGAAGGGTCTGGCATTGCTCAAAGAAGAGCCGGCCAGCCCAGGGGGGAAAGTCGAGGCTGGGCTGGCCCTGGCCCCAAACGAGTGTGACTTCTGCGTGACAGCCCCCCCACTGCTGCCTGTGGCTGTGGTCCAGGCCATCCTGGAAGGGAAGGGGAGTTTCAGCCCCGAGGGGCCCAGGAATGCCCAACAGCCTGAACCAAGGGGCCCCAGGGAGGTCCCTGACAGGTAAGCAGAGCCCGTTTGTGACTGTGAGCCCCATGTGGGCCACTTTTGCAGATAGACCAGCACTTAGCAGCCGACAAAACTTCCCAGCCCTCTCTGCCCCTTGGTGGCTCAAGGGAAGGTTGGGCACTTTGTCTATGATCTTGACCTGACTTCTCAGAGAGTGCTCCAAGGAGCACTGGTATCAGAGTCCCCTGGAAAGTAGGAAGCTTATTAAAATACAGAATTTCTGGCTCCTGTTCAGGTCAATCAGCATCTCTGTGGAAGGGTTCAGGAATCTGCATTTTAAACAAGTTCACTGAGGTGATTGTGATGTGCACAGTAGTTTAAGAACCACTGGTATTGACACTTGTAGCATAGGGAAGGAACATTTTGCAAAGCCCCAGCCCCACAACCCAAACCTCAGGCCCCAGGTGGGAGGCTGAAGCACTCTTTATGTGTCCCTTGAGGGGTTCCTCTCCTAGTGTTTTCTAGGGTGGTGGGGGGAACCTAATGAGGGGACGCGTGGGCTCTGCAGGCCAACAGGAGTTCTCTGTGCACAGGGAGTCTCTGGGCCTGGAGCGGGGGGGCCGGAGCCCAGAGGGTCTACTGCCTCCAGTGCTGCTTCGGGGCACCCCAGAAAGTCTGGAGCCTGCAGGGCCCCTGGATGTGAGTATTCCTCCGGCCTGGGCAGGGGTGTAGGGCCCAGTAGGGTCTAGCTCTCTGTGCAGCCTGGGGAGGGCACCATTGACCCCAACCTCCTCTCAGGTGCTGGGCCCCAGCCTTTCAGGACGAGAGTGGACACTGATGGACTTGGACATGGAGCTGTCCCTGGTAAGAGAGACGTGACACTGGAAGACAAGGGCCTAGGGGCTGCTGAATCAAGCCCTGTGGTCCATGGCTGCTGCTCTCTCTGAGCCAAAGCCATGGCTGAGGATTCCCAAGCTCCCCTCAGCTCCCCAGCACCACCCCCCCAACAGCTGCTTCCTGGGGTTTTCCCATGCAGATGCAGCCCTTGGTTCCAGAGAGAGGTGCGGCTGAGCTGTCAGTCAAGGGGTTAAATTCACAGGGTCCAGGTAATGGTTGGGGTGACTCAGGACCTGGGGGAGGTCATGATTGGGTGGCTGGGCAAGTCTGTGTTTTGGAGGAAAGCCCCTTGAGTTCAGGCTGTTCTACAGAGAATTGTCCCAGCTACCTACCCCCTCATCACTGGGCGAGAGTGGGGAGACTGTGAATGGAATCACTTTTCTGCTGAGCACGACTCCACTCCTCCTAGGGAAGGATCCCACGCTTGGGAGGCCGCTCCTGCTGGACGTCCCGGCAGCTTTGGGAGGCCCAGCCCTCGGCCTGCCTGGGGCTTTGACCATTTATGGCACCCCTGAGAACCGGGCGTCCTACCTGGGCCCAGGAGCCGGTCCCTCTCCTTGAGAGCCCCTCCCCTCTGGAGCTGGCTCGGCCGAGGGACTGCTCCCAGGCAGCACGCCCTTCTCGGCTTGCTGGCGCCCCCTGGCGGAGGCTGAGCGAAGACCCCGCTACTCGGCGGCCGCTCTCCATTCCCTCGCCTAGCCCTGCGTATAAAGCTGCATTTTTCTCAGTTTCTGGTCTCTTTTCTCTACCGACTAGGAAGCACAGAAGTCGTGGGTGGGGGGCGACTTCTCATTCATAGAAGCGTCCAGATCCTAGCGTTTTAATGGAGGAACCCCCAACAAGGGTGTAGGTGCTTGGGGAGACTGCCTCTAGCCCTGCTGGCCTAGGCCGGGATCCTCAGCTGACAAGCGGTCCCTGAGACCTCCGGGAAGCGGAGTTTCTGGGTCAGACCTGGCTCCGCAATGCATACGCTCTGTGACCCTAGGTAAGTCTGTCCCCTTCTCTGAGCATCATCTGTGACAAGCAGAGAGGAGGCGTCGACAAGAATATTGGTCTGAAGTGGGCCCTGGACACTTGAGGCCGCGGGTCGAACTGTCCCCTCCCCTGCCCCGCCCTGACTCATCTCCGGGCGCACCGTGGTGGGGAGAGAAAGCAGACTACGTGTACGTCCCTAGTCAGCGTACAGTACAGGCTCGGAGGCTTCGCTCCCCTGCCGCGGGAATAACACCCTCCCCCCCTCCCGCCCCGTTCCCGACAGCCCTGGCAGCCCCGCCCCCACCGCAGCTGTTGTTCCCCCACCCACCGTGGTCCAGCATTTTCTGCACTGTCATCTCCTGTGTGACTGAGGTTCGACCCGTGAGTGGGACCGCCCAGAGCCCCACCCCACCCGGCTGGGGGAGGGAAGAGAAACTGAAATTAGGTTCCGAGGAGGTCGGTAAGCCCCGCCCCTCCGCAGGACTCTTAAATCCAGGGACTGGGTGGAGGAGAGGTAAGGGCATCCTTGCATGCGCTCAGCGCAAAGGCTCACGCAGTTTCCCAAGACCCTCGCTTGCCAGAGTCTGCGCAGTGGAGGTGGGGGGAAGGGAGGGACCAGGACCCTGCTACTCTGATCGCTCCTGGGGCTGCCTGACACTCTGGGAAGAACCTGGCCTATGATCTTGAAGGACTGGCTCTGAGGCCGAACGGCCGCTATGTAGCTTCGGTGTTTCCTTCCGAGCAGTGAGAGCTAAAGAGGAAGGGCTCCGACCAGACGGGGTCTCCGCTTCCCAGACAGGACAAAGGGCAGGACTTGGGATAATGGGAGGAACAGGCTAACGGAAAGGAGTGAGGGCCAATCCAATCGGCGCCCCCCCCCCCCCCGTCCAGAGTGGATGCTGGTCCCCTCTTCCCACTCCCCCCATGATAGGGGTCAGTCATTGGAAGCTCTCAGCATAAAAGGGCAGAGGGTCTTCGTGTACAGTTTCAGCGATGTCAGTTAACTACGCAGTGGTGAGGGTATTTGGTGTTCCCTGGTGCTCCCAGAAGGAACCAATCTGCCTTTGGGAGACTTAGCACTGGAGTGGATAACGGAACATTTGAGTCTTGGAAAATGGGTCTACCAAGTGAAGGGAGGGAAGGGGCATTCCAGACTTAGGGAACAACATCTGTACAGGCTCAGAGGTGCCAGGGGCTTGGCAAGTTCTGGGAGCATTGAGGGGTAGAGGGAAGTGGGGAAAGGTCTGGCTGTGCAGGTGGGTGGGAGGTGGCTAGAGCAGCCAGGCCAGGTGGTCTGGTCTCTCTCTGATGAGCAGTGGAGGGTGGACAGCAGGTGGTTAGGGCTGACATTCTGCCAGGCATTCAGGCTACAACGGCAAGTCAGATTCCAGCTCTGCCACTTGCTGTCTCCGTGCCTCTCTCCTCATCCGTAAAATGGGGACAATAAATCCTATGCCGCAGGGTGACAAAGTGGGAGTGAGAGGTGCCCAGAGGGACTGTTACAGGAAATGAGGCGATTATGGTAGGGTTGGGGCAGGGGGCTGGCTGACTGAGACTCACTGAGAGACGGAGCAACAGCACTTGTCACAGTTGGGACCTGAAGGGAGAGAGGGATGGGTAGGCCGAGTCTCTGCTCAGTGGCCTGGGGGAGGAGCTGACACTTCCTAATGGCTGGGAGGGGTGAAATGACTAGCAGAGGCATTTGAGACAGTAATACCAGGGGCGGGAGGGAGAGACCTGGAAGGCAAGATGGGGCTGAGACCAAATTCTCTCTTCCAGACAAGGCCCAGATGCCTAGAACAAGGTAGAGGAGGGATGCCAAAGGGAGGAGGAGGAGGAGACTGGGGAGGGCGATGTGTGGACAAAACCAAGACGGGGGAAAAACAGTAAAAGTTTGGGAAACATTTATTCGTGGCTTTTATGTGCTGGTCCCTGGAGATGCCAAGATGAAGCAGATGTCTATGAGTCATTCCCAGGCAAGTGGGGAGGCAGTTGTGTCTCAGGTGATGTCAGGAAATCATGGTCAGAGCTGGGACTCAAGAGGATTCAGGTATTCCTGTTCAGGTATCAGAGAACCAGGAAGGACCAGAAGACCACATTGTGGGTTGCACCATAGTGGTGGTGGGGGCAGTGCAGGGGCTGGACCTGGTCTGGAAAGATGACCTCAGGGTCAGAGTAAGGGGTCTGGACTTCTTCCAGCAGGTGAAAGGAGTAAGGGAGGCGCTCAGCACTTCGAGTTTTGAGTGCAGAGGGGGAGAGTATGGAGGTAGGGAGCCCGGATGGAGGGCTGTGCAGAGGCCAGACAAAGTAAGTGGTGATGAGGAGATAAATATTCAGCAGACGGACTGGAAAGGACTTGACAGAGAGCTGGGTGTGGGGTATCTGGGGTCAATCCTAGGTCTTTCAGTCTGTTGAAGTGGAGAAGCAAGCTTGGGAAAGAGAAAGCGGTCAGTTTGGATAAATTGGGTCTGAACCGATGGCGAGATTTGCAGGGTGGTGGGAGGGTCCCGAAGGTGGCAGGAACTCTGGAGGTCCTGGTTGAGGAGGGAGCTGAGAGAGCAGATATGAGTCCTAAGAGAGTGTTAGGAAGTTAGGAGAGTCACAGCTGACATTTAGGGGAACAGAAGAGGAGACTGGACAAAGCGGCTGGAGAGGTAGGAAGACAAGGGGCTCCGTGCAGTGGCTTTCAGGTCCCGTGCTGCTAACCGAAGTGGATGGTCGGGGTCGAGGTGAATTTCGGCCCCAGCCTCGTGCATTCACTGAAGCCCCAGGATAGAGTTCAGGGGCAGGGGACCTCTGGCGCCCATTACCCCTCTCCCCCGCCACCATGCAGCCTGGACCATGGGCAACGCGCAGGAGCGGCCGTCGGAGACGATCGACCGCGAACGGAAACGCCTGGTAGAGACACTGCAGGCGGAGTCTGGGCTACTGCTGGACGCGTTGCTGGCGCGGGGCATGCTCACCGGGGCGGAGTACGAGGCGTTGGACGCGATGCCTGATGCCGAGCGCAGGGTGCGCCGGCTGTTGCTGCTGGTGCAGGGCAAGGGCGAGGCCGCCTGCAACGAGCTGCTGCACTGCGCCCAGCGTGTGGCGCGTGCGCCTGACCCTGTTTGGGACTGGCAGCACGTTGGCCCTGGTGAGAGAGCGCGGGGCGGGGCCTAGGGCAGAGTAGGGGGCGGGGCGTGATCCGGAGGGCGGGGCAAAAGCTAAGGGGGGACGAGAGTTGTCTCCCAAAGAGGAGCAACGGTGGTTGCAGAAGAAAGCGAGGAAGGGTAAATTGAACCTGAGACACCCGCACCTCCGCCCCAGGCTACAGGGACCGCAGCTACGACCCTCCGTGCCCAGGCCACGGGACGCCTGAGACACCTGGCTCAGGGACTACATGCCCCGGACTGCCCAGAGCTTCTGACTGGGATGAGGCTGGGGGTCCTGAGGGCTCTGGGGCGGTGCAATCCCAGATCCGCGAGGAGCCCAATCTGGAGCTGGAAGCTGAGGCCTCTGAAGGGGCTGAGCCGGAGCCGGAACCTCAAATGAATCCGGGACCAGAACTGGAGGCAGAACCAGAGCCTGAACTGGAGCAAGAGCCCGACCCAGAGCCAGAACCCGACTGCGAGGCCGCGGATGAGTCCGAAGGTGTGAAGCTGCCCTAACCTGGTGCCTGGCTGGCAGGAGGGCGTGCCCCACCTCACTGACCACTCTCCCACATTATTTTATGGCTTCTAGGTTCCTGAAGACCAGAGTACTGACCAGCCGCTTCCCACCCAAACTGGAAGGGACCTGGGATCCTGCCTGGGCTTGGTCCATGCCACTGAGACTCCTTGTGGCCCAGTGTTGCTGGAAGTAAATAAACCCTGGAAGGTCAGCCTAGGCTGTCTCCACGATTCTGGCTCTTTGCCCAGGAACTGGGGGGTGAGTGCACGCCTCTGAGTACCAGTGACTTGGGCAGCCCTGTGCCCCTCCAGCCCCTCGCCCCAGTCCTCAGCCTCATTGCACCCCTCAATAGCCCAAGCTGCACCCTTAGAGATTCCAGACCCAGAGCTCCAGTGGGACAAAGGCCTGCCCCCTGTTCCACAGCTCTTTTCCCCTCATGAACCATTTGAGGGCCTGTGTAGGCATCAGCCCTGTTCCATGGAAGTCCCTGGGCTTGATGCAAAGAGCAAGGAAAGGGGGAATTCTCTCTGCTTAGGGAAGGCTTAGTGCTTAGAGCTTTGGGAAGTGAGATTAGAAGAGAGGAAAGGGATGGGACCTTGGGTGGACAAGAGCGCACACACTTCATTGTAACTGCTGTTTTAATTGTCTGGCTTCCCCCTGCACTGGGAGTTCAGTGGGGGTTCTGACAAGTAACTGGCACACAGAAGGCGCTCTATACATATTCGTTGACTGAATTAATAAGGGCTTTCCAGCTGTGTTTCTGAGTTTCACAGATGGGAAAACTGAAGCCCAGGGAAGGAGTGGGACTGGCTCAACCTCACACAGTAAGTCTGAGGTGAAACTGGAAGCAACAACTACCTCTGCTCCTCCCCTGGTCTAGGGGGGCTCCCGACTTGGGACAACAAACCCTAGGGGCCTGCCCTTCAGGTTCAATGATTGTGGCTGCTGCCAGGTTATGCCAATCTCAGCTGTGAGGGTGCGGGCAAAGACAGGAACAGCAGAGGCCGTGGAAGGGGTGGAGGCAGGGCCAGGAGAGCTCTTGGGCTTGACTCACAGGCCTGAAGTGTGTATGTGTGTGTGATAGGAGTGGGGCTAGGAACAATCAGTGCCTTCCAGGCAAGCATGAGTGCCTTCCAGGGGAGGCCTGTTCCTTCCACCGATTGTCAGGAGCTGCTACCTCCCAGCTCCAGGAAGTACAGCACATAAATATGGAATATAAACAAGCAGTGGGAGAGGCAAAATACTGGAAAGCACATCCCAGCCCAGCTGGGTCTCTACTACCAGGACCCCTGCCCCTTGAGCCTGTGTGAAAGCCAGGACCCCAGGCTCAGGCAATCACCCCAGGAGAAGGGGTTCCAACCCCCACCAGGACCCAGTGAGAGGTAGACAGCGTGAAAGCTGAAGGAGCACCGAGGGCCAGGTGGGGGAAGGGAGGGACTGGAGTCCCCAGACACTCAAAGCCATCTCATGCAGGAACAAATTTCTACTCCCAAACCACCCCCATACCCATCCATGCTCAGCTCCCCTACTGCCCCCAGGCCTCCCTTCTGCTCAACAGAAAACTCAAGGCAGAAGGGCATACTCGGTTTGCCTGACATGCTGCTGCTGGTCCCCAGGTCCCAGGGCAGCTAGCAAAGGACACAAACCCTCTGATGCTGCCATTCTTCCCTCCCAAGAGGCTCCTGCCCTGCCAGTTTCCCAAGAAACACCCAGTCTTTGGAAGCACAGAACAGACAGCGTCATGTTCTGGGGGCCAATATGGAGCCTTCTGTCCAGGACCTCTTCCTGTGGCCTTCAACCAGCATCAGTCAGGCAGCAGGCGGCCCAGCTCTGCTTCATCCAGCCGGTTGGTGGCCATGATGTGCTCCAACTGCTGTCGGTAGCGCACCAGGTCCTGCATGAAGTGGGGCACCCGAGTCTTGTCCAGCACCCCGTGGGGCCGCAGGTGGTCCACATCCTCATAGGATACCTGTAGGGAGGGAGCTGGGTCTCAGGGGTAGGCAGAATCCCCCAGCCTCTTGGGTATCTAATTGCCTCCTGAACCTTCCCCTGAATATCCTTCAGGCACCTCAGACTTCCCATATCCAACACTACACTCATGAAGCTCTTCTACCTTCTGGGTGCTGCCTTATGCCAGCCCCACTCTCTTCAGTTACCCAGCTCAGATTCTAGAAGGAGGCCTGGACTCTGTCACTCTCTTACTTAGGGTAGCCACTGAGTTAAAGGGATTCCACTCTCTCAAGAGCTTTCCAGCTTATTCTTTCCTCTCCAACTGCATAGCCACTGCCTGTTAGGCCAGACCACCATCAACTCTACAGGAGTGACTGGAAAGGCAGTCTCCTCCTCTGTGCTCCCTTCTCTGCACCTCTCTCCAATCCACCTCCCACATGACATCCCAAGAGAGCCTTCTAAAGCAAGCACCTGCGCCACTCTGCTCAAAGCTCCCCCCACCCCCGACTCCCATTGTTTTGGATGAAGTCCACCTTCCTCAGCCTGACACAAATGCCCAGCACCGGGGACTTTGTCCCTGGCCACTTCTCCAGCCTCCTTCCTTTTCCTGACGGCCCCCTTGACCTTGATCCTCCTTTGAGACGCAATATCTACACACGTACCTGCGCTGGGTCAAGTACCTGTTTACAGCTATGGACCCTGAAAACTCCTGTCACCACAAACTGGCATTTCATCTCCTGTGCTCATCTCCACCCATGCTTCCCGCTACTAGAGAGCTCTGGCGCTCAGCCCTCAGCCGGCACCCATCAGAGGTTTAGGGAATACAGCAGTGAGGGGGAGAGCTGGATGGGCTCTCTACAGGCCCGCAGCCTCTCACCTTGCCCAGGGAGGTCAGTAGCGGGAAATCGATGGTCTGGCGGTGCCGCAGAATGCGCACGATGCCGTCCAGGTACACCTGGTCTTTGCTGAAGCAACCTGTGAGCACAGGAGGGCTGTGAGACCGTGTCCCTCGCCCCCACCACTCTACCACAGCTCAGCGCACTGCTCCCGCGCGCCCGCCCACCTGGCTGTGAGGTGTCAGTCTGGCCCCGCTTGGCGCGCACACAGTACTCCCAGCGCACGTCGGTGTCCTGCACGTAGCGCGCCAGGTCGTGGAAGAGCTGGCGGAAGGACATGCGTGCGGCGCGGTGAATGGTGTAGTAGAGCAGCGCCGCGCGCCACAGGAAAGGCTGCTTGCGGAAGAGCACGCTGTGCAGACTGGCCAGGCCCTCCTCCGTGGGGTTGGCGGGCCGCAGCCCGTACTGCACCCGGCCCTCTGCGCTGTGCCATGGCTGCTGTGCGTTGTTCACGCCTCGCAGGTAGTGAGTGCCTGCGGGGAGGGCGTGAGAAGGTGGCGCTGGGTGGGGCAGCCAGGGGACCCATCTGCTAGACTCCTGACCTGTCCCACCACCGGACCTCTAGCTGGTGAAGCTCTCATCCACGAGCCCCCAGACTCAGGCTCTCACACAGTTCCCCTCAACTCCCCTTCCTCCTCGCTCCCCTCAAACAAATGCATACTCACTCACCCAACCCCAGGCAGCGTGATGACCCTCCTCAGTGAACTTGCACCCAAGGACTAATAGAGTCTCACAAGTATGATTTCCCCCCACCCCTCTCCACAAACTCTCCCAAAAGTCACATTGCCCCACCCTCTGGAGGGGCACATGAACAGGCACACCACCCCAGCCCACATCCTGTCTGCCCATATCATTTTGACAATCATGCTGGGCCCTCAGAAAAACCACCTCTTGCCCAGAGCAATAGGATTCTTGATGAGGAGGACAGACAGAAAGGAATAGCGATTAGTGTCCCGCATCTCCCCACCCCCCAGCTTGACCTATTCCCTCCTAAAACCAGCTCTGTGTGTCCTGAGACAATTCCATTCCCAGGATCTGGCCTTCTACCCACCCTGGAGGGCTGGGCTGGTGGGTAAGCGAGTATGCATGGGGTGCTCCCTCTGACCTGTCTGGGCCTTGGCAGCCTTGCCCCCACTGTCAAGGGAAACCAGACAGAAAGAGGGAAAAAAAGATACCCAAAAGGAGCAAGAGATGAGGGTGAGCCCAGACAGTGGGCAGGCATGTTCTGGCCTACCTCTGTGAGTGAGAGGGAAGAAGTAGCTGCTCAAGAAGGGGAAGGGCCCATCCTCCTCTGGAGGGAAGCGGGAGAAACAGATGGGGTGGGGTTACTGGGGCCCCTCACTGCCCCCACCCCAGCTCCTAACCCCCTCTCATCCATAGCTGCCCACCCACCTACCCACACCCTGACCTATCTCATGCCGCAGCATGCCCTCCAACCAATACTGGCGGGCTCCCGTCAGGTTGATGGCCAGTGTGGGTCGGCTGTTCTCCACCATCATCACGGCCTGGGACAGCAGGTCCTCACTCAGCTGCACCACCACCTGTAGGCAGCACTGCCTTGAGCCGTGGCCACTAGCCCTGGGGCCAGTGCAGGTGGACCCACAGATGCCACAGGGCTGCCAGGCTGGACATCCACTCTTCATCAGCTCTGCTCAGAGCCAGCCCCCAAGTCACCAGGGCAAGGACTTGCCCGGGGTTACCAGGTGGCCAGGTGTGGAGCTAGACCTGGCACCACCCACTTGGCAGCCTGATTTGGGGCATGTAGAGGGGCCAGCAGGCAGGGCAAACTCACCTCCCCCACACAGCCCTCCTTCTGCATGTATTTGCGCACAATGGACCAGATCTGGCACTTGGTCAGCAGCTGGCCCCCGGTGGCAGCCTCAAAGTGTTCGTAGGTGCCAAACTTCTCCAGGACAGCCTCAATGATGCCAACCGCCTGCACACAGGGCAGCAGTGGCTAGTCAGGCCAGGCCTCTTGGGTGGTCAGGGCCAGGGTGAGGTGGGTAGGCTGGACTGACCTGATGGATGAACTGACCAGAGGCTTCACAGTACTTCTCCAGCACCGCCGTAGGCATGGGCTCCTGGTACTCAAACTGCGGGTTGTAGGTGTAATGGGAATGGAAGAACTTGTCCCTCTCGCTGTCCATGTTGGTTGGTCTCAGGGCCACCAGCATGCAGGGGCTCTTGTTGGCACCACGGCCTGCATCCCTTCGGGTCTTAGCAATATGAGGCAGGGAAGCTGCAGACCGCAGGGTGCCCCCACCTGGGTCCCGTCCCCGTCCAGTTGGGGCTCGTCCCTGGATGCCACCCCACCGCTGGCTAGCGCTATTTACGGTGCAGGTACTCTCACTGCGACGCATGTGGCTGCGGTGGCCCAGGCGCAGCTCTGTGAGATGCTGTGCCTCAGGCCGGGGCTGCAGCGCTGAAGGGACTGACAGAGCCAGGGGCAAGGGCAGGGGCCGAGACCAGGGGTACAGCAGTGGCCCATCTCCGTCTGAGGGCTTCAGCCTGGTGTGCAGGGACAGGGGACTGGCAGGCGGGCTGGGAGGTGCCTGCTCATACACCTGGGCCCCTGAGGCCAGCACCATTCTGTCCTGGGGATCACATCCAGCTGGGTCACTCCAATTCCACTCACTGTCGACCTCTGAGGACACAGAAGGACATGTAATGGGTGTGGCCTGAGGCCCAGCAGACCCTGTGCTCCACATTGCCCTTGCTGTGCCCTTGATGAGCCCAGGGCCTGCTGCCGGGGTCTGGGTAGCTGCCCCCTAATACCCACCCCAGTATCTCTTCCCTCCAGCAGGCTCATCCAGGCAGGCTGGGCTGGGGGAAAGCAGGAAGAAGAGTCTCATATACTAACCCAGATGGTGGTTACTGGAATTGCCTCAGCCTGTGAGCTTGTGAGAGTAAGGACAACGTCCTACTCATGATTCTAATCCCTGTGCTCAGTGCCCAGTCGGTCTGGGAGCCAGTATAGTGCAGCCGAAGCTGCCTGGATGGATGAAGGATGAAGGGTCCTAAGGGCTGTCTTCTGCCTTTGGCATCTTCTCAGCCCCACCCTCTCCCTCCTGTCCCACCAGGCTCCACCTACCTGCCCCATCTGGCCTTTGCTTATGCTAGCCCCTCCATGGGGAAAGCCCTCTCTCCTCTGGGCCATCGATTCAAATCCAAATTAAAACTAGCTTTTGGGGGGCAGAAGGAAACTTCAGTAAGTCCAAGCCAATCCCTAGCCTGCCCCCCTAGCAGATACTTCTCTCCCCTCTGAAGCATCTTCCCAGTAGTCATCCAAGACCAGTGTCCAGGCGCTCACCCCATGACTCTGTGCCAGGGCTCAGTCCAATCCAGTCTCTCCAGCCTGCTAGCCAATGCCCTGCCTGCTCGGGGACACAATTCCAGTATTTCTCCTCTCTCCCACATCATCAATTTCTGCCTTTCTACTGGATTATTTCCATGAGCATAAACACATGCTATTATTTCACCATTTCAAAAAACAAAACAATACCCTTCTTGACTCTATACTCCACCACCTACTGCCCCATTACTTCTCCCTCCAACTGTTCCTCAAGAGTCGTCTGTACTCAGTCTCCAATTCTGTCTTTCCTGTTCTCTCATAAATTCTCTCCAATTAGGTTTTTGCCCCCCACTCTCCATCAAAATTGATCTCATCAAGGACACCAATGATCTTCATATTGATCAGCAGCACTTGACACGGTTAATCACGTCCTCTTGGAAACACTTTCTCCACTTGGCTTCTTGAGCAGTCTACCTTGGTTCTCCTCCTACCTCACTGGCTGTTCCTTCTTGATTTCCCTTGCCAATTAATCCCTACTTCCCACCCTCTTAACATTGAAATGTCCCAGGGCTTGCTGTCTATGGAAGCTTTTTTCTCCCTTCTCCATTTACATTCACAACCTAGGTGATACAGAAGCCCTGGCGGCCCAATAGTTAAGTGTTTGGCTGCTAACTGAAAAGTCAGTGGCACTTGAAGATCTGCTCCAGTAAAAAGTTGTTATGTTGTTATTTCCAAGGAGTAGCTGGTGGATTTGAACTGCTGACCTTTTGGTTAACAGCCAAGCTCTTAACCACTATGCCACCAGGGCTCCCTGTAAAGATTACAGCCTAGGAAACCCTATGTGGCAGTTTAACTCTCTTCCATAGGGTCACTATGAGTCGGAATTGACTGGATGGCACACAACACCATCTAGGTGATGCCATCCACTCTCATGGCTTTAAATATATTAGCCCAGGCTTTGTCCATAAAATTCAAACCAATGCTGCCAGTTTTCAGTTCAACATCTGTACTTGACGGTATAATGGGCATCTCAAAATATCATGTTATTAGAAAAGTCTTCCCTAACACACCCCTGTAAAATAGTAAACTTTCTCTTCTCTCCACCACAACCTCCCTTCCTTGCCTTATTGTTTTCCATAGCAGTTATCACCATCTGAAGTACAGCACATTTGATTGTTAGTTATCTGTTTCCTCTTGAATATCTTCAGAATCCAGAACAGTGCCTGACCCAGAGCAGATGCTCAATAAATGAGTGAACCAAAGAGCTCTTCTTCTCAGAACTGGAATCATTCCTTCCCTGCACTTTGTTTCCCTATCCAGACTCGATCTTCCTCCTCGGAGAATGCCCAGCTGCTCGAAAAGTCTTCAGGTCTCAGGAGGCACTCTCCTCCGCTAACTGGACACTTTCCCAGACTCCTCACTGGACTCTGGGCCTCTACTTGGGCCAGTCCCCATTGTCTCCCCTTCTTTCATTCAACCTACCTCCTCGCAATTACCGGGATATGCCTGTTTCTTTCATATCTCAGGTCCTTCCGCCAGGAATCCACCGCAATGTCCTCCTGGAGCAAACTCCTAACCATCCTTCAGCGCTCGGTTCAGGCCTCACCTCTTCTGGGAAGCCTTCCCAGCATATAGAGGTTCCCCAGTGCCTAGGCGGCTTCTCTACCGCCCTAGGCTGTCACTGTCGGAGCCTTGGTCTGTGTCCCCCCACCATCCCTTGAACTCCCCGAGGGCAGTGACGGGTCTCATTTGGCCCCATGTCTCAAGCACCCAGCACTAGATGCAGATGAATGAACGGATGGATGCGGGGAGGAGTCCTTGACTACTGAAGGCGGGGTCTGGTGACAAATGAGAGGGTGTGGCCTGCACTAATAAGAGACCCGGGAGGGGATAACGTGGAAGAAGGGCCAATGGGGACCGGGGGATAGAGGAGGGGCGTGACCTGCAGCCAATAAGCGGCGGAGGATGGGGTGAAGGGCGTGCCCAATAGAGGGCGGGGCTGGAGGACAATGGAGAGGGGTTCCTTAGTAGATAGCGGAGTCGCGTCGCGCGCCTTCTCGGCTTCCCGGGGGTCCTATTCGCGTGCCGCGTCCCAACCTGTTCGCTCCTTTACTCGTCGCGGCCGTTCCCGTTCCGCAGCGCCTGTCGCCCTCCGCCCAGCCCGCGGGAGCCGACACCGGTGACGCACCACCCGGGCGCGCGCACGCTCACGGGATGGCGCGCGGGTTCGCGTCAGTCTCCGCGGCGGCCCGCACCCGAGACCAAAGCTGGGGGGCGGGGCCAGGCCGGGCAGAGGGGGCGGTGTCCTTCGTCGGGTCACACTCCTGGGCGGGGACTCATTTTAGGCCCGCCCCCTCGGCAACCCGACCGCCGAAATCTGCGCCGCCAGACGCTAGTTCACTGCCCCGGCGCGGATACGTGCGGGAGTCTGGATAGGTGGGATCGCAGTCTGTATACCAGGGTGGGAGCCAGAATACCATACCATACTGTGCATGACCCCTAACCTCTGCAGACACTTTTTATTTCACCCCTCCTTCCCCAACGCACACAGATCCAGGCGCCCGGAGGCCGTGGCTTTATTTTTCAGGCAGACAGGCGTCAGGCGCAGGACCCCGAGGGAAGGCAGGAGGACAGGGCGGGCGCAGGCGCGGGCACTAGGCTGAAGAGTGCGCGGCGGCCAGCAGCGGGCGAGGGCGGCGGGCCATCCTGCAGGGAACTGAGTGCAGCCAGGCGCTGCTCTCGGGACACATCCCCGCGCAGGTCCAGGAGGGCGGAGACATGGTCCTCGCTGCAGGGCACCACCGAGGCGCGTCAGCCCCGCCCCCCCTTCCCTCCCGGGCTCCTCCTCCCTCCGCGCCTGGAGTCTTCGCACCTCAAGTCTGGAAATCGTCTCCTCAAGCTGGCCACCTCGAGGCCAAGCAGCGTGGGGTCGTCGAGGTTCAGCAGCTCCCGCAGGGCGAGCAGCACCGGCGCACACTGCTCGCTCTCCTCCAGGCCCTGCTCACGTAGGGTAGGATCTCGAGCCGGCCCTCCGCCTCCACCCCACCACTGGGACCCCGCCCATCTGTCCCTCCGCCGAGCTCTTACCAAACCGAGAAAGAGCTCCCGGAGCTGTGAGGCATCATGCCGCAGGCGCTCGGCGGCCTGGGTCCGCTCGTCCGCACCGCGGCACACTAAGCGGCGCTGCATCAGCGCGCGTAGGTACTGCAGCACCACGGTGCGCTCCGCCTCGGCCAGCAGCAGCTGCGGGGTGGGAGATCAAGCCGGTCCAGGTCGCTTTTCCCACCGGCGCCTCCCCCTGCCCTCGCTCTCAACGCACCTGGACTGCGGGGCTTCGCACACGCCAGAAGTCCCGGCAGAAGCTCGCAGTCCGCTCGCACACACGGTCCAGCAGCTCTGGGCTCGACAGCCACCGGCGCGAGGGCAGACCCGCGAACAGGGGCTGAGGGAAGACGGAGACGGCGCTGGGGGAATGATCCAGACCCTGCATTCCCAGCAGAGGCCCCCAGACATACGCTGTCTCTCCACCTCCCACCCCCCCACCTGAAGCCTCACCTGGAGCTCCGCCAGCAACGCCTCCAGCACCAGGCGGCAGATCCTCCTCTGCAACTCATCCAGCGCAGCTTCCACCCGAGCCAAGGCCACTGAAGCCATCCCGTCGAGCTGCAGGACGCACACGGACGACCTAGACGGTCCAAAAATGTGGCTTCAGGACGAAGGCCGAGGCCCGCACAGCCCTTCGTGGTCCAGCTACCCTGGCGCCACCTACTGGCGCATGTGTGTGGCGGCAGGGGACGAGAAGGGCTGCACCTTGCACTTCTAAAGGTCTGAGGCTGGGAGTGGGGTCGGAGAGCTAGAAGGGACACAGCCTCACCCGGACCCGTCGCTAATTCGCGGTGTGACCTTGAGCAGATCATGTCTTTAGGTTCCTATTTGCTCATCCGTAAGGGGAGGGAGTTAATCCCAGTCAGGAGTGAGTAAAAACCATTATTAACTTGTTTATCTGTCCTCCCCGTTCCCTTTCCCCTCCCCTAGAACATAAGATCCAAGAAGAAGGGAACTTCTCTGTTTTGTTTTGTTTTTTTCACAGCTGTAACCCCAAACATTATCTGGCACAGAGTAGGGCCTTGATAAATATCTGTTGAATGAATAAATAATTGAGCACTGCTACTCTGTGCCAGGCACTGTGGTAGGTACTTTACATCTGTTATCTCATGTGACTCTCAGAACATCGCCTTATTACCCGCATGATACTAATGAGAAACCTGAGATTCAGAGAGATTAGGTAACGTGCCCAAGGTCAGACAGATAGTAATAAGCAGAACTAGGATTGGAACCTGGAGCTATTGAGTCCAAAGTCTCTCATGGCCTAATATGGACTGGTTACATACAAACAGGTGCTCAGTTAGGGTTAGTGAAGGTGTGGTCCATGTGAGCCCCATACCTGAGTGCTGTGTGGTGGTTGAGTGTGGCCAGGAGGTAGGACATGTAATGAGGAGCTATTGCTTCGCCCCTGAGGTGGTTTCGGGAGAATCGGATCAGAGAATCACTGAAGCTGCAGTGGGCAGAGGCGGAGCCATTGTCACTCTGGCGCTCCCACAATCCTGTTGTTGTTATTAGTTACCATAGAGTCAATGCCAACCCCATGTGTGAAGAACAGAGCTGCTCCATAGGGTCTTCAAGCCACCCAGGGACTCCTCTCACAACCTTAGTCTCTGGTCATCCTGCCCCACCTCTGGGAGACCAAGGCCCAGTCTGAAAGAGCCCTTTCCCACTGGCGTGCTTTATTCACTTAGAGCCCCTTTGGGTGCCCTGGGAGCAGGGCCGACGGTTGGGAGTGGGTCAGTGCCTTGGCGGACCTCCTCAAGAAGGCACCCAGTTCTGACAGTGCCATGCCATGCACCCGCCGCTGGAGTGACTCGCCGACCAGGCTGGTCACACGAATGTTCTCATCCAGTATCTACAGGCAGGGATGGGCAGCCATCAGCATAGCCCCTAGCCCTGCCCTCCCCTTTCCCCATGGGGGCTGCCCACCTACCTGGCCACTTCCCACCCACCTGCAGCACAATGGCCGGCATTGGTGAGTGGTAAAAGCCGGACGGGTCTGTGTCTGGCTCCTTTTCCAAGCCCCACTCAGCTACCTCCCCATCCAGTGCCTTCTGCAGCCACTGGACCACACTTGCCTGGGGGAAAGGGCAAGGGGCAGCAGGATGAGGCAGGGCACCGACCTTGCCAGAGACAGGCAGACATGTGAAAAATGAGAGACCTGTGTGTGCCTGTGCACATAAAGGCCCACAGCTGATGGGCAGAGCTGCTCTGCACCTGTGCCTGGACCACTCACCTGGACTTTGGCCACAAATGTTGCCTCCAGTTGCTCGACATTCTCCAAGGTCAGCAGGGGCTCCAGCTGGGACACATCAGCATCAGGCCCCAACTCCAGGCCCCCCATCATTTCTGGCCTGGAGATAGGTGGCAGGTGTCACACACAGTCCCAGCCTCCAATCCACCTGCTTCCCGCTGTTCCCAGGGCACTGACCCCAGGTACACGTGCTGTGCCCAGTGCAGCAGGGCGAAGGCATCAGCAGCTCCCAGCTCATGTCCTGTGAGGAGTTGCTGCAGGCTGCGGCGCAGGCCGCCATGCAGGGTGTGGGCCCATAGTTGGACCACCTTGTAGTTTGGCGGGCAGCAGGGTGCTACTAGTGCCTCAGCTGTGGCCAACTCGGCTGGCAGTGCCACCCGCAGAGTTTCCAGCCATTCTGCTAGGGCTCCCGGCCCAGGCAGCAGAGATGTCCCAAAGTGGACCCGCTCCAGGCCTTCCTGTAGTGCCCGCAGAAACCGCTGTCGCCAGTCCCGGGAGGGTTGCCTAAGGGGGCCTGTGCGCCCAGCTTCCACCTCGGCCACACGCACAGCAGCCACCAGCAGGGCTGGGTCCTCCCGTGCCAGCTGCCCCGCAGCCCCTGCTGCCACCTCCACAGCCCAACCCAGTGCCTCGGTCAGAGGGCCAAGCCCCTCAAAGACTGGCAACTCCAGGCCTCCCAGGGGTACCCGTGCATCCTCTCGAAGCTGTTCCAACTCCCGCAGGCTCACATATGCCTCCAGGAACCGCTGGGCATCAATCAGGGTCTGTGTATGGGCCACTGCAGCTGGCACTAAGGAAGAGGAGACAGCCTTGGGTCTCAGCCTTCCCACCTGTGCAATAGGTCCAGTGGTGGATGCTGAGGCCCTGGCCCTGGGGAGATGTGTAAGATACTTAATAACCAGTACAGTAGAGCATTGGCCAATCTGACAGAACACAGGCCAGGTCCTAGAGTCCTGGTGGGCTAAGTGTCAACCCATGAGCTGATGAAACATGAAGAAGTCAGGGAGAACATGAGAGCCATGCTAGTGGCTTTTCACCCAGCCTGTACGGAAAATATTTCAATACATTAACAACCAGGGTGGCCAGAGTCACTTGACTGGGTGTCAGTCCTGACTCAGACATCCCATGCTGGGGAACCCCAGGATAAGGTGCTTTGCATCTGGCTTCATATGCCATTTGAAGCCTGAGTTACTCTCTGGTAGGTCCCAGGTATGTCTCTGCATGCAATACCCACCTGGTATCCCAGCCCCTTGATCAGTGGTGGATGTTTGTTGACTGACTGCTGGAAGGCTGAGGCCTGGGGCCCCTGCACACTCACCTGCTCGAAGCCGGGGCAAGAGCTGAGACAGGGCCTGCAGTTGCTTGTGTCGGCCAACCTGCTCCCGCAGGGGCTCTAGGGTCTGCGCAGCCTCAGCCATGCCCCCGAGCAAACTACGGGCCTGGCTCAGGGCCTCCCGGGCTCCCTGCACAGCCTCAAGGGCCCGGGCCAGCTGCCACACACCAGTGTGCACGCCCTCCAGGTACGACTGCACCACTGACTGTAGAAGGGAGGCATCCAGTGAGGCTTGGCTGACCGCAGCCCACCCCCAACACTGCAGCCCCTGCCTGATGCCCACCTTGATGCGTGCTTCCAGGGACGAGGTGCGCTGCACCTCACGGCCGCGATATTGGCTCAGCCTGGCCAGCTGCTCTGGCTGGTAGAAGACGCCTGAGGCCCACTTCAGCGCGGCACCCCGGGCCAGCCGTTCTGCCCTCTCCTGCTCTGGCCACTCAGGCCCAGGGCAGGAAGAGCCTAGGCGGCAGCAGCGTCAATCATCAGTCAGTCCAGCAGGGCCTGCAGGAAGCTGCTGCCGAACCTGCTTCCCTTTCCCTGTCCCCCAGTCCACTCCTCTCACTGCCCCACTGAGCTCCAACCAGGCTTGCCTTACAGGACCAACCCCGTCATTCCCATCCTTCTTGCCATCATCCCTCTTCAGCCCACTCAGAAGGGCTCCTACCAGGGGAAAGCGCAGGCTCCGTTTCATCCTTGGCTGCTGGGTCCATGGCAGGCCCTGGAGGAGCTGGAGCCGAGGTGGGAGTTGGGGTGAGGGGCTAGGTTACAGCAGGTAGCGTGGACTCTCCTTGGAGCTGTGGCCTCTGTCAAGGCCCTCTGAGAAGAAGGAGAGAGGTTTGTGCACAGCCCCTCAGGAAATGAGAGGAGGGCGGGTATGATGTGCGAGGCACCTGGGAGGCCTTTACCCGCTGCGTTTCTCAGTTGTTTCCCTGTAGGGTAGGCACAGGTCTCTACTGGGCCCTGCTCCTGCTCTGAGTTGCAGAGGTCGGTTTGGTGTGGAACTCACCAGGCTTGACCAGTTGCCCAGTTCTCCCTCCTCTGCAGATAGCCTTGGCCTTGAGGATGGCCCTCTCTCCCAGCCCTGTGGCAGAGCTGGTCACTCCCTCCACTCCCGGACCACTCCTAGGTACACAGCAGACCTCCTCTCCCCGGGGAAGCCTCTCTCCCCACTCCCAGCCCAGGAGCCCCCTTCTCTGGCGAGGCCCCTCCCTCTCCAAGGCGACAGGCAGAAAGGAAGGAAGCCAACTCTCCGGCGCTTTATTCCCAACAGGAAAGAACATCTGAATGCGAGAAGGGGTGGGGAGTGCTGAGCGCTGGGGGTAGGGAGTGTACTCTCTGTAACCATGGAGTCCTGACCAGCCCACAGCGGTACCTCTTAGCGCCCTAGACACAGACCCCAACTGGACTCTGGCCCCGCCTAGGGTGGGGGCAGGGTGTGCACAGATATAGATGCAGACTACCACATAGTATGAAAAGTATGTTGGTGGGTCCCTCAGAGGAGGTTGTGTACCTCTGCAGAGAAGTGAGAAGCCACAGGCTGTTGTGAAGAGGGTGAGTGGTGGGTGAAGGCGAGAGGGGGGTCATCCAAAGGCCATGAAAGCTATGCTGAAGAGCTGGAGTCTTATCTTGCGGGCTGTAGGGAACCATGGAAGGGACCCCAGGGGAGTAGTAATGTCGTGGATGCTGCCGTGCACCACCCAAATCCACCCCTTCCCCCAGCTGCCAGGAGTGAAGTCTGCTCAGGGCTTACAGCTGAGTCTCTCAGTTAATGTTGGGGTACAGAGGCCTGATCCTCTTGCCTGAATCTGGAACATCTTTAAATGACCTCCCAGTTTCAAAGCTTCTGAATGGGATGGGCTAAGGCCTCTATTATAACTGCACCATAGTTTAACTCTTTCCTTGCCCAATTCTGCTTGTCTTACTCCCCTACAAGTGTGGGTCCCCATAAACTTCCTGCAGGCAAATCCTTGTCTCAAAGTCCGTTTCCCAGAGACCTTGACCTAAAATATACAATAATAAAAATTAACAATGTTAAAAATAATAAAATGATACTAGTAAACACAGAATCCTTCCTGCATGCCAGGAACTGCTCTGCATGCTTTACATAGGTAAATATGTTTGCATTGGCTGAAAAGTGGTTACAATCCTGTGGCAGCGACTGGGCCTTTGAGCTCTACAGTGTGGAGGTAAGAGAGATATGAGGCTGGGACCAGGGTAGAGATGGATAGAAGTAGACAAGCTAGATGTAGTTAGTGGCTCCTGTTTGGCAGAAAGTGAGGGACAGGAATATGGTGGGTGATCCCAAGACGGTGGGGCAGCCTGTAGGCTCAACTTTGGGGAAACACGTTGGGTTCATCAGGCAGTGTTGTTTCTTCCCTGGAGATGAGGGCTGTGGCGGAGTTAGTGGTGTTGGAGCAGGTTGGCACGGAAGGTTCTGGTGACTCCCTCTTCTGTACTGCCGGGGCCGCCTCGTGACCTCTTCCAGAGGCCTCCCCACGGTGTACTGTGCCTTGGATCCCGGGATTGTTTTCGTCCTCCTTGGCGGTTGGACATTTGCTAATGGTCCCTCGAGTTTTGCGGCGGTGCCTGCAGAGAGGAATTGCGCCGTGTTCCCTAGAAGGGCGCAGGGCGGAAGCGGAAGCAGAGATGCTGGCGCCGGCGGCCGGGAGGCCAGGAACGGAAGCGGAAGTGGCGGCGGCGCCGGCCTGGCCTGGCCTGGATGAGGGGAGGTGGCGGGCGGGCGCGATGGCGGAGGCCGGGCCACAGGCGCCGCCGCCCCCGGGCACCCCAAGCCGGCACGAGAAGAGCCTGGGACTTCTCACCACCAAGTTCGTGTCGCTTCTGCAGGAGGCCAAGGACGGCGTGCTTGACCTCAAGCTGGTGCGGCCCGGGCTAAGGGGGCGACGGAGGGGATGGTGGACCAGGCCTGGGTCGGGAGCGGGAACCCCCGGGACGGCCCCGCTGACCTCTCAGAGAGCAAGTCGCCATCCGTGTGCCTTCGCAAAGGAAGGAGGCCGGGGGCTGTTTCATTCATTCGGTAGACGCATTGGGCATTAGCTATGTGCCAGGCGCGGGGCTGCAGGTGCTGGCCCTCGTGGCCCTCCCGGCTTGGCGGAGAAGAGCATTTAAATATTATTTCAGGGCTTAGCCAGGCCTCTTCCTGCCTCACGGTCCTGGGCTGCTGTAGTGCCTGAGTGGAGGCTTGGGACCCAGGCCGCCCCCTTCCCAGACCACGTCTCAGGGTAGCTGGGGGCCTGCTGACCCGACAGACACCGTGGGAGTTTGTGTGTACGTGGGTGGATAGCTGGGGTGCACTTGAGAATACGGCTGAGCATCCTCCACTCTGTTCTGTCAGGCAGCTGACACCCTAGCTGTGCGCCAGAAGCGGCGGATTTACGACATTACTAACGTACTGGAAGGTATCGGGCTGATCGAGAAAAAATCCAAGAACAGCATCCAGTGGAAGTGAGTGGGGGCATCTGGGAGAGCAGTAGGGACTTCTTCCCAGAAGTGTCAGGGGTGTGGGGTGAGGGAAAGATGCAGGAGAGAGCAGGGGCCATGGGACCCAAAGTCCCTGGCAGCCTCTTAGCCTCACTCCGTGGACTCAGGGGCGTGGGGCCTGGCTGCAATACCCGGGAGATTGCGGATAAGTTGATTGAGCTCAAGGCAGAGATCGAGGAGCTGCAGCAGCGGGAGCAAGAACTGGATCAGCACAAGGTGTGGGTGCAGCAGAGCATCCGGAATGTCACAGAGGACGTGCAGAACAGCTGATATCCTCCTGGCGGTCTCTGCTCTGGGGGAGTGGGTGAGGGGCCCTCTGGTTCATCTGTATTTGCTCTGTGGGGCCCTGGGTTTTGTTCCTTTTGGGAGGATGGCCCTGCAACCCCAGCCTTGGGTTCCCTTCTCAGAGCCCCTCCCCCTAGAGTCTTGGCCTTTGATTCCTCTCTATGTGGAACCCAGGCTCCAGGACTTTCTCTGAGGGTTTGTGTGTCAGATTTCTGCTAAAGAGCTGGGCCCTCTCTGTCGTCTGCCATCTGTCACCATAGGCAGGGCACTGGCCGTTCTCCTTAACCCCCACACCTTGGCCTACGTGACTCATGAGGACATCTGCAGATGCTTTGCTGGTGAGCAGAGCCTGGGTAGGGGGATTGGGGGTGGGACCGGGCTGAGCCAAGCCACAGCCCTGAACATTGGGCTCAGTGTCCAAGGAGAGTTGCATCTCTTAGGAGGGCTCCTGGGGCCTGCCCAAAGAGGAACCAGGTGTGGGTAAGTCCTGGGTTTGAAGGTCCACTGGGACCCTGTGGAGGCCAACCATAGTGAGTGGGCGCAGGATCCTGGGCTGGGTCCCTGGGTCTGCCCCCATCTATACTGTCCCTTTGGCTTGTTTTCTCAGGCACTGTGGAGGGAGGGAGGGAGGGAGAGAGAGAGGGGCGAGAGAAAGAGTATGTGTGTATAGGCGTGTTTGTACGTAGGGAGCAGTGGCACCTACTTCCAACCTGTACTTTAGTTGCATGGTGGATACAGGAGCTGTTCCTTCTCCATCTTGCATCTCCCAGGCTGGTCCTGGGGAAGAGACATTGGCCTTGACCGGAACCCCTGTACCTTGAGAGTAGCCCCATCAGTTGAGCAGTGAGGTACCCATGACCAGTGATTTTTTGTTCCATGAATTTGAACACAGATTTCCTGATAACTGACCCCTGGGCTCTTGGGGAAAGAAAAACCCTTAGCTCTCTTCCACAGCCACTGTGTGGGATGGGTGAGGCCTCCTGTCTAGCCCCTCAGATACCATGATCTCCTGCCTTGCTCCAAGGCGCAGCACCCCCAGTCCAGCTCAGGCTGAGCCCGTGGGCCTTGACCAGCCCCCTTGTCATTCTAGGAGACACTCTCCTGGCCATCCGGGCCCCATCAGGCACCAGCCTGGAGGTACCCATCCCAGAGGTGGGTGCTCAGCCCAGACAGGCAGGGTTGGTGGAGGGTGGGTGCTGGCTGTGGTGCCTGATAAGTCCTGGGTGGGGCAGGTCGGGGGAGGCCTGGGGTTTGGGGTTATCTAGGAGGACGGCAGCCTGGGGTGGGAGAGGATATTGTGCCCTGGCCCAGGGTCAGGCAGGAACCAAACCTGTTTCTAATTCTCTCTCTCCCTCACCCCCACTTCCAGGGCCTCAATGGGCAGAAGAAGTACCAGATTCACCTGAAGAGTGTGAGTGGGCCCATCGAGGTGCTGCTGGTGAACAAGGAGGCCTGGAGCTCACCACCTGTGGCTGTGCCTGTGCCGCCACCTGAAGATCTGCTCCAGGGCCCACCTGTTGTCTCTACTCCTCCGCCTCTGCCGAAGCCTACTCTGGCCCAGCCTCAGGAAGCCTCATGCCCAAGCAGTCCCCAGCTGGCCACCCCTGCCCCTGTCCCCAGCAGCATCGAGGGCCAGGGGGTGACCGGCCCAGCAGCTGAAAGCACAGGTGAGGCATGAGAAGTGACTGGTGATGGGGTTAACTTCTGGGATCCTAGAGGCAGTACCTCTGTATTGTGGAATGCCGTACTCAGAGCTGGATGAGAGCTGAGAGCCTTTTCCTGGCCCCCACTCCACCTCCCCTTACTATGACAGTTTACAAGGCCTTTTTCAACAGCGAAGCTGTGTTTGAAGGGGCATTTGTGGTGGCAGTTTCCCCCAGGTGCACCTGTGCCTCACTGCCCTGGTAGCCCTGCTTGAAGTATGGCCGCAGCAGCCACGTCCATGAGTCTCCCTTTAGCAGGCTTCACACCTGTCTCCAGTAACTCCCTTCCAGGTTACCTCTTCTGGGGGACTAGCAGTGCCTAACTCTCCTTGGGCCCAGGAACCAGGGCTGCTGCCATCCTGGCTGTGGTTCTAGCCCAGCTTCCTGCCCACCATATGACTGAGTAGGGGGATGTGGTTGCAGTGAGAGGCGGCCCTGGAACTGATAGCAAGGACAGTGGTGAGCTCAGCTCACTCCCTCTGGGCCTGACAGCACTGGACACCCGGCCGCTGCAGTCTTCTGCCCTGCTGGACAGCAGCAGCAATAGCAGTTCATCTGGACCCAACCCTTCTACCTCCTTTGAGCCCATCAAAGCGGACTCCACAGGCGGTGAGTACCTGCCCACCATGGCCAGGGAGAGCCTAGCTTCAGCCCAGGCCTGGGTCAGTGACAGAATTGGGCCTGGAACCCAGCTGTCCTGTCTCCGCAGCCAGAGCTTGCCAGCTCAAGAGCCCCAGCCCCCTCCCATCAACCTCAGCCTTTAACATCAGAGCCCTCTACTAGCCAGGGTGAGTGCTGGTGCCTGTTTTGTCCCCCTTCCTGGGCTAGTACAGGGCTCCCTGGCCCCCTCTCAAGCTCTGCCTGCCACCGCTTGGACTCAGGCCTCAGGAAAGTGCAGGCCCTCTCCTGGGGAAGGGGCTGTGGCTGTGGTATGGCCCTCAGGCACCAAAGGTGGGCAGTGGCCTTCCCAGGAGAGGTGATGTCATCTACCTGGTGTCTTCTCCCTCTTGTGTCTTCAGTGTTTGCTTCTTTCAGGACTCATTTTCCTCAGCACACAGCATTGCTAAGTCTCTGTCTCCTCACTAAATGACCCGATCCTCCTCTGTGTCCCCCTCTCACACTTCCCTGTGTCTTCTCTGGCTGTACTTCTTAAAAAAGTAAGTTCCATTCCATGCCATTGTCACCTAGTCATCCTTCAGGTTGGGTCAGGGTCCCCCAACCCCTAGTGCTACACCAGCATCGCTTGTGATAAGTTGCCAAAGACCTGACTGCCAGATGCAGCAGGCAGCTCAGGGATTCTGCTCTGGTGCCTTGCTTGGTGGTGTTGATGCTCTTTTCTTCTGTGGCTTTAATGATACTGGCTCTTGGCCCTTCTTCCTTACTGGCTTCTTCTCAATCTCTCTCTGGGACTCGCTTAAACATTGGCACTTCCCTAGCCCCTGTCTCCTCCTCCCCACCCCTGGGGGGGCAGCTCTGGGTGGGTGAACCCTCCCCCTCTCTCTAGTCTGGCTCTTTTGCCTGAACTCCAGGTCTCTGTGTGCACTTGCACTTGCCTCCTGGATGCCTGCCTCCCCTAGTACTTCATTCCCACATGTCCTTAACTGAACTTACCTTTTTCTCAAAAACTGCTTTCCTGCCTCTGTGCACACCCTACTGTTAGCCCTAGTCACCTAGGCCTGACACCTGGGTGTCACTCCAATTCCATCTCCTTCCTCCTCCCTCTGCTCCCGACCCCACCTCAGCTAAGTGAGTTCTTTCCCAGACATTGCCTCCCATCTCTCCTGCATCCTCAACCCCCGGGATTGGTCCCGGGAACCTATAGTCTAGATAATACTTCACCATCCACCTTTTTACCATAATCGACATGAGGATCTTTCTGAAATGCAAACCTGACCATGACAGTTCCCTGTTTGCAGAAGTATCTTTAGCGGCTCCCTGGGGCCTGCTGGATAAAGTCAGCTCCTAAACCTGGGGTGTGAAATCCCTCATGGTCCAACCCCAGCACTCTCCAGCTTCTTCTTCCTCTGCTTCCTATATGCCTTCTCCCCATCAGACTTTTCTGGTGGAGTGGTGACCCTGTAGCAGGTGACTGGACCTGAGGTGTAGGCTCAGCCTGGCACAGCACAGGTGCTCAACATGGCGAGCGGCGAACAAAACATCCTCCTTAGGCAGGGTGTGCATGGGAGCCCAGAAAGGGGTGGGTGGGTCTGCTCGTTTCTGTAGTGCCACTGAGTTAGGATGGCTGTGCCAAGCACCTATGATGGGCCCTTGGTTCCCTGGGCTCAGCACTGAGGAATTTGGGTCTCGCAGGGGAGAGCAACAGGCAGTACCCGCTTATCTCCTCAGTTGTGTGGAGCACCGAGGATGGATGGTATAGGATCCAAGGAAGGCGGGGGCTGGGCCTCTGTGCCCTTGAGCGTAGCCTTGAGCATGGCCTTCTTGTCTTTCAGTTCTGGAACTCCCCAAAGAGCTGTCAGAAATCTTCGATCCCACACCAGGTAGGGCTGTGTTCCTCCCTGGGGCTGAGCGGCACAGGTCATTGGGTCCCACTGCTGTTCTCTTGTCCTTCTGAACACCTTGTGGCTGTGCTTGGTACCTGGGGCAAAGGGGAAAGCTTCTGGTGGGTGGAGGAGGGTCCCCCCTTCCAGAGCCAGAAGTAACTGAGCGCCCCTCCTTCTCAGAGTGCATGAGCTCAGAGCTGCTGGAGGAGCTGATGTCCTCAGAAGGTGGGTGGTCCAGGATGTTGGGGAGTGGATGTGGCCAGGAGGTGGGTGGCAGCTGGGTGGGGCCTTGGCTCCAGGCCTCAGCTTAGTGCTCTCTGCAGTGTTTGCCCCCCTCCTCCGTCTTTCTCCACCCCCTGGAGACCATGATTACATCTACAACCTGGACGAGAGTGAAGGTGTCTGTGACCTCTTTGATGTGCCTGTTCTCAACCTCTGACTGACAGGGACTTGCCCTGTGTGGCTGGACACAGACTATCTGACCTGGGGGACCTCCCCCCACCCTACACCTACACAGCTACAGGCTCCTGGCTTCCCCAGCCTTCCCTCACTGCACAGTTCTGGCCACGACTCCTCCCCCTGCCTCCCGCACCTGCACCTGTACTGTGCTAGGAGAGCAGAGGAATGGGCTCAGCCCCACCATCCTGTAGCCAATGCCTCTCCTTTCCTGGAGCCCTCTCCCACCTTGTGCCCTCCCCAGGCCCAGGCTCTGCTGCCACCCAGTGGCACAGAACCTCAGACCCACCGTTGCCCCCATAGGGCAGCTTGTTCAGCCCCACTGCCCTGCTCCTGCCAGTCCCCCAACCCCAAGGAGGGAAGGGTAGGCTGGAGCTGGAGGCTTACCAGTACCACCCCTAGCCTTTGCTGCTGCCCACTCCTGACCCTGCAGTTCCTCCTGACCTCTTATGTGCCCCCCTTCTGCTCAGCCCTAGCCCTCAGAATGTGTAGGTGGTGGTGGGGTGCTAACCAGAAGGAACAGAGGTCTCTAGATAGTGATCTGGGTCCCAGAGGATAGCCCCCCTTGTTTGTTGATTTCCCCTCAGAGCCATTTGCAGAGATTTAGAAAGATTTACAGTAAGGAATGGATTCTTATATAAAGATTATTTTTATACTTTTTGCAGCAAAAGGAAATTGTAATGTTTGTACAGTGTCCAAGTGAATAAAGACCATGCCTAAGGCTCTCTCTGATCTGATTTTTTCCGGGGCCTGTCCCCGGCACTGCTGAATTGGTGGTGGGACTGGGTGGGTCACCTTGCAGGAGCAGGAGGTATGGCAGCCTCTGGCTACCTGCCTTCCCCTCCCCCACCTGCCGCACCTTGGCGCGGGGCGGGGCTGCCTCAGCGGGGCGGGGCGGGCGCCGTTCTACCCTGTACTCCCGGTACTCCAACCCGGAACTAGCCTCGGCTCCCTTGGGAAGGCCGCGTCGCCTGGCCAGGAGTGGGAACCTGGGCCGGGAGTGGGTGGCCAGGGGGCCAGGGCTCGCTGTCGTCCCCTGGGACCTTAGACCAGGTGCGCCTTCGGCTGGAGGTAGCGCCGTCTGGGGGAAGTGTAGGCGCCCACGGCCCGGCTGGACCATGGCGCCCCCGCGGAACGTGGTGAAGATCGCCGTCCAGATGCGTGACGCCATCCCTCAGCTCATCCAGCTGGACCAGGTCACCTGGCCTGTCTCGCCTCCATCCGCCCCACCATCCATCTTCTGGGTCGCCCGCACCTCGCCTGCCTACTGTGGTCCCTTCCCCTGGGAGCAGTCTGTCCTACCCCTCTCCCAGAGCCCTCCCTCACTCCTCCCCATTCCCTGCCGGTGAATGACCGTCTATTTGCAGGCAAAGCCGCTGGCCGCTGTGCTGAAGGAAGTGTGTGACGCGTGAGTGCGGGCTGCCGGGCCAAAGGGCGCAGGGAAGGGCAGGGGAGTAGGCGCCCCCTGGCGGCCTCACTAAGTCTTCGGTGCCCGCGGCAGGTGGAGCCTGACTCACTCCGAGCGCTACGCCCTGCAGTTTGCTGATGGACACAGGAGATACATCACAGAGAACGTGAGTCCCCTCCCTGCTACCCCCACATATTCTAGACCCCCCCCCCACTTATGCAGAGTGACCTCCATACGACCCCTTCTCACCCATCAGGTCCTGATTCTTTGGACTCATCATCCCATTATGATATGTGATCTTGTTGTGTGCCCAGTCGATTTGGACTCATAGCGATCCTATAGGACATTGTAGAACTGTCCCATAGGGTTTCCAAGGCTGTGAGGGAAGGAGTCCTGGTGGCACAGTGGTTAAGCACTTGACTGCTAACTGAAAGGTCTGCGGTTTGGCTCTGTGGGAGAAAGATGTGGCAGTCTGTTTCTGTAAAGCCTGTAGTCTTGGAAACCCTATGGGGCAGTTCTGCTCTGTCCCACAGGATTGCTATGAGTCAGAATTGACTCGACTGCAGCGGATATGGATAATCTTTACAGAAGCAGATCACCAGGTCTTTTCTCCCTCTAAGTGGCTGATGGGTTCAAATCGCTGACCTTTTGGTTAGCAGCCGAGTGCTTAACCATTGTGCCTCCAGGGCTCCTTCATCTTGTTTTTACTGACCTCTGAATCCTCCCTGACACCCCACTTGACCATTCCTCAGAGCCCTCCTTGACTTCCCTCCCTGTCCTGCTGTGTCTTCTCCAGAACCGCACGGAGATCAAGAACGGCAGCATCCTGTGCCTCAGCACTGCCCCAGTAATGTCCCTCCTGGCCCCACCCTCCCATTTCCTGCCCCCTGGGCTGTGCCTCCTTTCTGCCCTGGCCCTAGCCCCAGCCCAGCAGTGTCCCAGCTAGTGGACAACCCAGCTCCCACACCTGTCCCCACTCCTTACCTCCACCCGGCCTCATCTCTGCTCCTGCCCCTGCCAGGACCTTGAGGCTGAGCAGCTGTTGGGTGGGCTGCAAAGCGGGAGTCGTGAAGGGCGCCGGGAGGCCCTGCAGCACCTCGTCCTGCTGGCGCCAGACCTAACGTTTGCCCGGGAGGTCATTAGCCGTGATGGGCTTCAGAGGCTAGGCACCATCATTGAAGATGGGGACGAGTGAGCATAGGGCTGTGGTGGGCTGGGGGACATGGTGGGGCCTGGGGGTCCTGCTCTGGTCCTGCTCAGCCCCAGATGTCCCCACAGCCTAGGGGAGGTGTTGGCTCTTGGGCTGCAGGCCTTCTCGGAGCTTATGGAGCATGGTGTGGTGTCCTGGGAGACACTCAGCATCCCCTTTGTCAGGAAGGTAGGTGGGCTTTTTTGGAGCAAAGGGTCGGGGCGGTGTTGGGATCTAGCCTTTCATGGGGGTAGTGGTGATGACGACTCCCTATCCCACTTATAGCTGGTGTGCTATGTGAACATGAACCTGATGGATGCCTCTGTGCAGCCCCTGGCCCTGGGGCTGCTAGAGAGTGTGACCTTGAGCAGCCCTGCCCTGGGCCAGCTGGTCAAAAGCGAGGTGCCATTGGATAGGCTGCTGGTGCACCTTCAGGTGTAAGTGTTGAGGGGTGGGGTGCAGATGGGGGGAGCTGGGCCAGACCCTCAGTGGCCGCTGAGCCCTCTTCTCGCCACAGCATGAACCAGCAGCTGCAAACCAAGGCCATGGCACTGCTGACCGCCCTGCTGCAGGGGGCCAGCCCTGCTGAGCGTAAGGTGAGCGTCTGTCCAGTGGCTGCCTAGGGTGGAGGCCCACCCCAGCCTGTAGGCTGGGTGCTGATGGTGGGGCTAAATCATCTGAGTCCCCTTCCCACCCACCTCAGCACATGCTTGACTACCTATGGCAGAGAAACTTCCGCCAATTCATCTATAAGGTAGGAAGGACTGGGCCAGGGCGATCCCTCTCCACTCCTTGTTACCTGGTCCCCTGCCCGTGCTCACCCCCATGGACTGGCTGTCCCCCAGAACATCATCCACAGTGCAGCACCACTGGGCGACGAGATGGCGCACCACTTGTACGTCCTGCAGGCCCTCACGCTGGGGCTGCTGGAGCCACGCATGCGGACGCCATTGGACCCCTACAGCCAGGTGCAGGTCTTGGAGGGCATGAGACTGGTGGCAGCTTGGCCTTAAATCTATAGTCTTGACCACTCCACCCCCTCTGCCCCCAGGAGCAGCGGGAGCAGCTGCAGGCCCTGCGCCAGGCAGCCTTTGAGCCAGAGGGGGAGTCCCTGGGTGCTGCGATGAGTGCCGACCGCCGCCGTTCCCTCTGTGCCCGTGAGTTCCGCAAACTGGGCTTCTCGGTGAGTGAGCCCTACCCAACTCCCCGTGCCTCAACCCAGGGCTGCTGTTGTTCCTGAAGACTGGGGCCCTTCCTGAGCTGCTGGTGTCCCTCAGAACAGCAACCCAGCACAGGACCTAGAGCGCGTGCCCCCTGGCCTGCTGGCCCTGGACAACATGCTCTACTTCTCCAGACACGCACCCAGTGCCTACAGCCGGGTCAGTGATGGGCTGGGTGGGGCAGGGCAGGGTCCCCGCCTAGGCAGGCCCCCATGGCCTAGCCATGACTCCCTGCCCCATTCCCCACCCCAGTTTGTGTTGGAGAACAGCAGCCGTGAGGACAAGCATGAGTGTCCCTTTGCCCGCAGCAGCATCCAGCTGACCGTACTGCTGTGCGAGCTGCTCCACGTTGGGGAGCCCTGTGAGTAGAACTGGGCAGTGTGTCCGGGGTCAGGGACGGAAGGGCAGAGAGGGCCAGGGGCTACACACACTTCCTCCCTGAGCCCCTCCTGCCCCCCCGCTCCAGGCTCCGAGACGGCCCAGGACTTTACACCCATGTTCTTCGGCCAAGACCAAAGCTTCCACGAGCTCTTCTGTGTGGGCATCCAGCTGCTGAATAAGACCTGGAAGGAGATGCGGGCCACACAGGAGGACTTTGACAAGGTGGGAGGGGTGGGAGCGGGGGATCTGGGCCAGGGTTGGGGCCCAGAGCGTGGGCGCTGAGCAGGGCTCGGGGTGGCCCCAGGTCATGCAGGTGGTACGGGAGCAGCTGGCCCGCACGCTGGCCCTGAAGCCCACCTCCCTGGAGCTCTTCCGAACCAAGGTGAATGCGCTCACCTATGGGGAGGTGCTGCGGCTGCGGCAGACGGAGCGGCTGCACCAGGAAGGCACGCTGGCCCCTCCTATACTGTGAGTTGGTGGGGCTAGTTCCCCCAGTCCCGGCCCCCACCTTCCCCGTTGCCCCATGGTCCTGGTCAGCGAACCCTCCTCCCTCAACCCAGGGAGCTTCGGGAGAAGCTGAAGCCAGAGCTCATGGGTCTGATACGCCAGCAACGTCTGCTTCGCCTCTGCGAGGGGACACTCTTCCGCAAGATCAGCAGCCGGCGACGCCAGGGTCACTGAGTGGACAGAGGCGGGGCAGGCGGGG